AGGGAGGAATCGTCGTCTTTGGCCTAACTCTTCTCTGGCAAGAGTGATGTAGTGATCCAAACTATCTGATGGTGATTTCAACGCTTAGAGATTCTTGATAGTGGTATGATCCAATTGGATTGTTCTCTTCTGATTGTTGATTTTGTTCTATGAAGGCTCTTTTGTTAAGATCTGGGGTTCCATCCTAAAGGTCAACCTGATAGGAGGAGTAGCTCAGATCTTTCAGATATATCCGGTGTGGGACTTTAACACCCCTCCTCACGACCATACACTTCGTGTGGTTCGTGTCATCATTTATTTTTTCATTGACTTCATTGTCATTTTTTCATAATCGTGACATCATTTTTTATGGGGGGGCCACACCATGGATCAATTTGGCTCCGATACCATCATGTTAAGACCTGAGGTTACATCCTAAAATGTCAACCTGATAGGAGGAGTAGCTCAGATCTTAATATAGTGTTTAATTCTTTCAGCCAGTGTGGGACTTTAACATCTTTCCCGGGGCATTGGTGCTCCAGAGTGACTTTTCTCTCTCGAATTGGGGAATTCTGTTTGTGTCCCGGCTAGCTTCCTCTGGTCAAGAGTTCTTGTCCGTCTTCTTTTAGAGTACGTAGACATTGGTAGAAGTCATCCTCCTCCAAAATCACATTTGTGCCATGAAGAATTTTATTTTTCCATTAGAAGTACTTGCTTTTATTTTAGTTTGAGTAGGTTTGGTGTGAAAATTTGGATTGTTGGTGTTCGTTTGATAGACAGTATTCAGTCCCGATTGTTTTAGACTTTAAATTGTTCATTTCGTGTCTAGCGAATCAGGTTGTTTTGTATGGGGTGACTGTTTCTCGATTTTAATATAAAAAACCGATCATTTATATTAAAAAAACATTAAACTACTATACATACCAACGTATAAAGCACCAATTTCTCTTACAAATTTACCACCCTAGCTAACCACTAAGGATATTTTCTTTTGGATTGTTTTCAATCCCAGACTAGACCAGACCAGATCAGGACTGGACAATTATAAAATACACAGAGATCAGACCAATTCAGACCAGATCAGACTTAAACAGACTAGATCAGACCAGACCAATAAATTAGAGCGCAAAAGAAAACATCCTAACTATCCAAGGGAGTGTAACTTTATGTTATTACAACGGTCTAATGCATCAAACCCCCTCGTGAAATAAAAATTTGGCGCATTAGCCCCATGTGATTTAAAAAATGCGTCAAACCATCATGTGTTATAATTAATCATGGGTCAAACCCCCTCTAAGAACAAATTTAATTTCCAAAAAAATGAAAAATGGTTAGTTTTTTTTGTAAAGTTTAGAAATATTGACAAAGTTACTTGCATATTCAACCATATTATTAAAAAAAAGTGATTTCAAAATTTTAAAATTTGTTCTTGGATGGGGTTTTGCGCATGATTAATCATAACACAGTGTGGTTTGATGCATTTTTTAAATCACAGGGGTTAATGTGCCGAATTTTTATTTCATGAGGGAGTTTGGTACATTAAACTCATTGAACAAGTGCTAGGTTACTCGCCAAGGGGGTGTAAAGTGCGTTCACATATACGAAGTATATATATATATATATATATGTATATATATATATATATATATATATATATATATATAGCTTCTTTCATACTTTGATTTGAATGGGAGCTTAATAAGTACTTATTATGAAACTAATTAAATGAGTGCAATAATTTTCTGGCCTGCATGTTTATATTCATAATTCATATATAATAAATATTACTCGTAGTACATAAAATAATATATGCAAAGAAGCTATATGTCAACGCAATCCTCTAGTTACACCCCCTTGGCGAGTTACCTACAACTTGTTCAATAACTTAAGTTACATCCCCTTGGACAGTGATTTAGCCAGGGTGGCTAATTAGTAAGAGAAATTAGTGCTGTATATAGATACACTCCGTACTTGAGAGTTTTTGAATAGTTTATTATGGAAGGAATCGAAAACCCCACATATAATACAAAAGTCCAATTGGGTGGCGTGCTATATACAACAAAGTTGTCAACCCCTTTCCCTTATCGTATAAAAATGTGAACCACACTTTACTTACTTTGAAGGACCCGAACTGTTTCTTTCATCAATAATATGAATATATGAATATATGATATGGTTCTCCTTGCAACTTAATATATAGTTTTTCCATTGTATATTACTACTATACGTATGAATTTATGAATTATCACTTGAGCTACAGCAGTTTTGTTGGGATACGATTATCACTAAACAGTTGTTAACCAACATACCTAAAGTGTGGGTCGGACTGAATTTAATTGCTACAAAGATTGATGGAGAGACTTCATGCACCGATGAGGTGGTGGCAGAGTACGTCTAATTTAAGGGAAAGTTATTAAAAAAAAGTTGAAACACCTCAAACATTAGTTGTATTCACATGTGCAGCTTAGGACACCCTCTCTTGATCTATTATTATATATTTATGGGTTTGATTTATAGTTCTGGCAAAAAAGTACTTCATAGCATTATTTCACATTAAACCCCCCATTGGCTCCACTATTGATCTCTTTCCTCATGGATCCAACATCCATTTTGTGCTTCTCCCCTCCCCTCTTTTGCCTTCTCTTCATTATATGGAAGTTCATGGGCCAAAAGAGGCACCATGGGTGCTACATTTTGGACTACCAATGCTACAAGCCAACCGATGACCGGAAGCTCAGCACGAGGCTATGTGGGGAGATCATTAGGAGGAACAAGAACCTTGGTTTGAATGAGTACAAGTTCCTCTTGAAGACCATAGTTAGCTCCGGGATCGGGGAACAAACGTACGCGCCGAAGGTGGTGATCGAGGGACGCGAGGAGTGCCCGACGTTCGAAGATGGGGTCACGGAGATGGAAGAGTTTTTCTATGATAGCATAGACAAGCTCTTGAAGAGACAAGGAATTTGTCCCTCGGAGATCGATGTTCTTGTCTTGAACGTGTCGATGCTCGCGTGTATGCCCTCGTTGTCGGCTCGGATCATCAACCATTACAAGATGAGGGAAGACATCAAGGTATACAATTTGTCGGGAATGGGGTGTAGTGCTAGTCTTTTATCCATCAATATTGTTGATAGCATTTTCAAGTCTCGAGAGAATTTGTATGCGCTTGTCGTGACATCGGAGTCTTTGACGCCGAATTGGTACACGGGGAATGACAAGTCCATGATTCTTGCTAATTGTTTGTTCAGGATAGGAGGGTGTGCCATTCTCTTGACTAACAAATTAGGGTGTGAGAAGAAATCCATGTTTAAGTTAAAGTTCTTGGTAAGAACACATACAGGTGCAAAAGATGATTCATACAATTGTTGCTTACAAAAAGAGGATGAGGAAGGGAGGGTGGGGTTTCACTTGGGCAAAAACCTCCCCAAGGCTGCAACTGGGGCTTTCATAGAGAACCTCAAAGTTGTTGCCCTCAAGGTTGTCCCTCTCAAAGAGCTCATTCGCTTTGCAATATTGTCCACTCACAGAAAACTAACACAAAGCTCCATTAAAAGAATGGTCCAGCCTAAGCCCAGGCCTATGATCAACTTTAAGACTGGGGTGGACCACTTCTGTCTGCACACTGGAGGGAAGGCTGTGATTGATGGGATTGGTCAGAACCTAAACTTGAGTGAGTATGATTTGGAGCCAGCTAGAATGACACTTCACAGATTTGGGAATACATCAGCTAGCAGTATGTGGTATGTTTTGGGTTATATGGAAGCCAAGAAGAGGCTCAAGAGTGGGGATAAAGTTTTCATGATCAGCTTTGGGGCTGGCTTTAAGTGCAACAGCTGTTTGTGGGAGGTGGTGAGAGATTTGGGAGATGAAAATGTGTGGAAAGATGACATTCAAAACTACCCTCCACAAAACCTAACCAACCCTTTCATGGAGAAGTATGGATGGCTCCAACATGAAGATCCAAACACGTTCGTGATTCCAGAGGACTATGTGATCCCATAATCTTTCATTCCCTCCCATATTTTTATTTATTTTTTAAATAAAAGAAAAGTTAAAGAAAGTACATGATCTCAGGTTTTTCTTCAAATCTTTAAACTTATATACTACGTATATTGTACTCATAATGATCATAGTCTCATTGTTTAGATCAATTTGATTTTATTTTGGCTACATATGTATGTTGTATACTTGTACCCAAAGCATCTGTATACTATACGTTTGAAATAATAATGGTAATAAAAAAAGTGTACATTGATGAAAGGAACGTTATGGGTGGCAAGAGAGTGTCACAATGGATAAGTTTATGGTCCACGTTTGACAACTCTAATGAGAGGATATTATGCATCAATGCATAGGGTACGTATGTGCAAAGACTTGGACAATAACTCCACTAATTATCTCTCAGTTTGTGATAAAAAAAATAAAAAATCATTAAAATAAACATACAATATTCAACACAATTTACCAAAAATTAATCTTGCTTTTTTCATGTGTATAGATTACATCATCTCGAGCACAGTCAAACATTTTGTATTTTCAATGAATTCGAACTTGTAAATCTAAACTTGTATATGAATGTCAAAACAATGTCATATAGGGTCTTGTTAAACATATTTAGTGGGTTAGATATAGACGACACCACTCCCATATAAGTTTGGTCGGTTCTGGGGGGCCTCACGAATGAGGTGACGTCTTTTTAGTAAATACGAGTATTTCACGTACTATTAAGAAATATGAATTTATAAATGCTACTACCTCCGTCCCTAAATGTTCTTCCAAAATAAAGTGGCACACTGATTAAGAAAGTGAGAATTGTATGGTGGAGAGTTGTGCAGAGGAGAGAGAAATGCTGTGAACCACAAATTCTTTGCCAAAAAGGGAAAGTGGAGTTCTTTTTTGGACGGACGAAAAGGGAAAGTTGGAAGTTCTTTTAGGGACGGAGGGAGTACTACGTAAATAAATACTCCGTATTAGGGAAAACTCATAAATGGGTTCTCGTAGTATATAAAAAGTCAATTAAGTCATCAAACTTTTTTTTGGGAAGAAATAGGCTTAAATTGATAACACATCATTTAGATAGTAGGTAATCTAACAAAGAGATTCCTGACAACAGTCGTCCCTCGAACCAGACGCATAGTTAATCACCTCATTAATATAACTCGTTGATCCATTCATGGGCACAAATGAGCCAAAGACGGTCATCACAATCAAATCATCACCCACATCCAAATCCAAATCCACAGAAATACAGCAGAATAAGATAAACCTCGATGGTGGTTCAAGAGGGGGACGAATCCAAATCCAAAGGGTAAATTGGAATTAAATAAAATAAGATGATGGAACAACTGAATCCATACTTCAAGCATCATCCTCGGTGGTGGTTCAAGAGGGGGACGAATCATCAACCTTTCATCTTGAAATATTCTTTGCAAACCCACTACCACAATTTCCAACTCCTCGGCATCCTCGACATCCTCTTCAATATTCATCTTTTTGTACTGGTCAACCATCCGCTCCATATAGCCCTTGTCGCCTCCTAACCTGCTGACAAAACCCCCTAGCGAGAATCAGTCCCGCTAACTTCTTCGATGTAACCCTTGCTGCCGAAAATCAAACTGCTCGAACCTCCTCTCAACCCAATCGTATATTGCGGTTACGTACCCTGTTGGCCACTGCTATCTTCTCCTCCAGCCGAATCTCCTTATCCACGAACGAATTGCCGGAAGACGGCAGCGCTCCTCGCCAAAAGACGATAGCGGACTAAGAAAACTCTAGCGGTAAAACCCTAGAGACAATTTAATAGCCCCCTCAAAAACTAATTATGTCATCACACTTAAAAACACTCAATTAAGAACATGAGCTTAGAAAAATGATCAAATTAATATTCTAGTAGATTGATTCCAGATTAGCTGATCAGTTGCTTACGTGGCTTATTTTACTGTTTTCATTTTTGCTCCTATTCTCCTTCTTCCTCATGTCCGGTTCTCCCCGTTTTTCTTTTCTTCCGCCCTCTTCTCTCTTCTCTCACCGCTAATCCACCCTCTCAAATCAACTACGGAGTATTAATTTCCTTTCTTTTTCCCTCATTTCTCTTCTTGTTCCTCCCATTTCATCTTCCGCCGCACCCGTTCTTAATAGCCTCCGCCTCTGGGGTGGTGTGCGAAAATCATTGGAGGTCATGGTCAAGGTGAGGCCCACTGAAGCAATTGCCAATGCCTGCACCAAGACTTGATTGTTACTCGACGATGAACAATGCTGACCTCGGCATTTGCCCCTACATTGGTAACTACCGCACACATCATCTTAAACATTAGGATGAAAATAAGCAATTTTTTTCTTAACCTAGAATCAGCGTTCTTCAAAAAAAAAAAAAAAAAAAAAAACTAGAATCAGCGTCTAAATATTCAAAATCAATATATTGATCAATGATCATACTATCTGTATATATTATCAGTCAAATTAATTTCAGCTATTTTATTTATCCAATTCTTCGCTTAATACTATCTTTCGTTCTTAAATAAGTGCAACATGTGAGATTTTACACTATTCACGTGTTCTACTTTGAGTACATTTTATTTATTGATGTATTAATATATATTTTTTGAGAAAAAGTGCAAATAAGCTCATGTACTAACCAAAAAAGGTCAAATAAGCCCTTATTTAGGAGGCTCTGTCCGACCGTCGCCATTTGGGGTGGTTCCCGGTGTAATTTTTTGATGAAAATTTTTTAGCATCTTATTCATTAAGTGTAGTTTACTCATGCCAAATTGCAGCAAAAACTTCAATCGGGAAGACATTCAAATGAATTCTCGAAGATAACTACGCTTTTAACTGCGCAGTTATCTTCGAGAATTCATTTGAATGCCTTCCCGATTGAAGTTTTAGCTGAAATTTGGTACGAGTAAACTAGACTTAATGAATAAGATACTCAAAAAAATTCATCAAAAGATTCCATTGGGAACCACCCCAAATGGTGACGGCCGGACAGAACCTCCTAAATAAGGGCGTATTTGACCTTTTTTGTTAGTACGTGGGTCTATTTGCACCTTTTTCCTATATTTTTTTGAAAAATATTGATAACGTATTTAATTCTAGAGAGAAGTGAGAGCTAGAGAGAGAAAGTAAGTAATTAATATTTCTCAACCATCTATAACTAGCCCCTTGGGGTCTATTTATAGGTAAAAATGTGGATTTGAGCTCCTAACCTTGGGCTTAGGAGACCCATTACAATAAGCATGCCTTCTTTGGGCGGAATAGGGCAACTAATGGACTGAGTACAATACTTAGTAAATAAAGTAGAAAACGCATTCTGCCAGGGTGAAGTCAGGCCGATGCGTTGATAGTCTGGCCGATGCGGTCCCACAGCCGATGCGCTACCATGGCCGATGCGGCCCACAAGAGTCCGAATGATTTCCTGGGTCAATCCGTTTTCCGGCCGTTGCAGACCCCACTGGGACGTAGAGCCCCTATGTGGGTGTCCTGTTGATGACTTTGACCTTACGAGTATGTGGGCCGTGGGGTCCAGGCCCATATACTCTATCAAATATATTATTAAATTTGTCTCATTGTAAATTTTTAAAAACGGATTTTTTTAAATTTTTTACTAATAGAGAATTATATATATTAATGGTCAAAGTTGTGCCTCGGCAAATGTGAAATGTTGACTGTTGCACTTATTTAAGAACGGTGGAAGTACTAATGAAAGAGTTTAAAACATCAACTTTCCAAAACTACGAATTAAGATTAAATAAAATATTAAACTTATGGACTTTTTCCTAAAATATTACTCTCTCGATCCATCCCATAAAAATTTTTCTGATTTGATTTGGATCGGAGTTTAAGAAAGTGAAAATAATTTAAAGTGAAAATTGAAGGTTTGTGATTGAGTAAAAAAAAGTAAATGGATGTTAACCACACAAACTTTCCAAAATAAAAATGGATTTTTTTTTAGACATACCAAAAAGGTAAGCAAGAATAATTTATAGGACGCGGGGAAAACTAATAAAAATTGGATAAAAATGTGACTAATATGACTGAGTAATTTTTACAATCACTACAATATAACATTTGAATACAAGTACTATAAGTTATATGACGCTTTGAGTTTTTTTTATTCGGTTTAATTTTCAGTTTTCAATTTTTGGAAAAAAGAACAAGATGACATTAATTCCAGCACCGGCGGAACAATTAACGAGTAGGATGTTATGAGCAAAAAAGTTTTCAATATTCTGTTTCACCCACCATGTCTAAGGCTGATTGCAATCCTGGAGTGAAAAGGCTATATTAGAGCTTTTGACCCCAAATATGGCTGCAACCCAGCGTTATACCATGGTGCTAAAGTGGCTAGAGATCACCGGTGGAGTGGATACCTGCTACGTTATTCACGGAAGAGACAAAAGAACCGCAGCTTGGACGTATGGAAAGGAAAGCATGGTCCCATCCAAATTTATAATCCCAATTTCATTTAAAGGATCATAACTTTTTTATTTGTATTCCAATTTTTACAAAAAATATATAAAAATTCATAACTTTTTTATAATCTTTCATATGACACCAATATTGAATATATAAAGTTCAAAAAAATATGATGTTTCAACTGTTCTAGATTTTTAGATCTAAACTTTTTCTTTAAAAGTTTCAAATATTAAAATTAAAATCTCATGGTTAAAATATTTCTTTACAACTTTCTATTATTTTTCTTTAAAAATAGGTCTAAATTAACCACTAAAACACTAAAGTATAAATTTATTTATTTATTTACATCGAAATGTTTGACTTTTCAAATCATAATTATTCACAATAAAAAAAATTGAATAAAATCTTGATGAGTAATAATAAAATTAAGGAAATATTTGAAAATAATTTTGCTGTGTGAATATATTGACGGTACTGGGTTACAGTAAAAATTGAATTGACTGAGTGAATACGTATAAAATGATGATAAATTTGATTTATTGACGGAGATGAGTTGCGATTAGCCTAACGCAGATGGGCTATCTACCTAGAGGCGGGTTGCAGGTGAAGACCCGTATGGCAGAGAGCTTAAAGGACTGGTCAGTCTGGTCCGAGCTGGCGAGATTGTGAGCAACTTTCTGATCTGTCCATGGCCGTCCAAGCAGCGAAGGAGGATGCAGAACTCCGCAGAGTGCCTTCCTGCTTCTCTGGATGTACCAAATCGGTGACCTGACCATGCATTTATGTCCACCGTCAGGGAGTAGTGGGATCACGACCTGAGATACAATATGTGCCTTTACCAATGTTGCAAATTAAAGCTAAACATTTAAACCAGCGAAGATGAATAGTGTGTGAATTAAAATACTCTCACTAAGAGAGGCTGTTTGGTAGTACTGTTTTTCGGCTTATCAGACTTATCAGCCAATTTTTTCACCAAACACGTAACTCTTACTTTCACGCGCTGAGTTGTGTAATAAGCAGAAAAAGTAGGGTTGAAGTTACTTTTCTGGCTGTTTTGGCTGAAGTTACTGTAGATGACCATTTTAGCTATTTTCACATTAATTTTTTTCTTTATTTTATTAATAAAATATATTTAAAAAATAATTGTTTCTTAAATCAGCAGAATCAGCCAATGCAGCCACTTCAGCCAGAACTTCAAAAATTTCAGCAGAATCAGCCAAAATAGCCGATTTTCGTGCTACCAAACGGGATCTAAATAAATTTCCATTTCGCTTTTTTGAGAGTCAACTTAAATCACACTTCAACTCTTACTTTATATATCAAAATTTTATAAAAATTGAATTATTATTTGAAAGCTTTGTAGCGGGTTTAACGTATTTTCTGAATATGTAAATTTTATTTACTAAAAATAATCCGAGTTTTCACAAGGATCATTTAATTTTATCGCTGGTCAAATTTCTTAACCCACAATTCGAAGTTTTATTAGGGACGGAGATAGTACGTAATAATTGAAGTTTGGCGTGTATTTAATCCTTGTGATGCAATAATGTAGAATGGTATCTCCTCTGGCATAAATATATGGCCGTGGATGGGAGGTCAGATATTTGTGTTCTCTACCTGATTGTCATTTGTCACTGTTTTCTTGTAGATTACACTTTAGAGTGTGACATGCTTCTAAGTTCTAACCAATCGTGCTACGGTACGGGTACACGCTGAGGTACATGTCGATTTACACGTCAAGTGTAATTGTCTATCAAGAAAGAATTGATTTTAATTTTAATAAAGAGAAGTGTACGTATATGACCTTCAAATTGTTTATGCATTGCATAGACAACTACACTTGAGCCATGTCTTAGATATAGCAAATCACAATTGTCACACCTTTGTTTCAATGTATCATCTTGGTTGTTCACTTTAGCTTCCAAGGTCATGACATAATTACCCTAACGACTTCACATTATCACTGGAGGACATCTTGGCTAACAACTTTGATAATCTATATGCTTTTCTTTTTTCGTATCTGATAATCTCTTAATCTGAACTATAATTCTTTCTCATTCAAGGAAGACTATGTTTAATTTATAATGGTTCCTATTTTGAAGTAAATCTCATGGTATTTAAAGTGGAGGTTTTTCATTTTAGACTTTAGAGCTCGTTTGGTGACCCATTTTCGGCTTATTAGGCTTATCACTTATTTTTTTCACCAAACACGTAACTTTTGATTTCATACGTTGAGCTATGTAATAAGCAAAAAAAGTACGGTTGGAGTTACTTTCTGGCTGTATTGGCTGAAGTTACTATATATGATCATTTTGGCTATTTTTCATATAATTTTTTATTTTATTTATTATTAACAAATATTTTAAATACAATTTTTTTTATAAATCAGCAAAATTAGTCAATACAGCCACTTCAGCCAGAACTTCATAAATTTCAGCAGAATCAGTCAATTAAGCCAAATTTAGTATTACCAAATGGGCTCTTAACTTACAAAAATGTGCTCTATGAGAAGCTAGATAATTTGCAGACAATGACGGAGCTATACCTAGAGCAAAAATCAGGGTTAGAGTAGGTTCTGACATACAAACCAACTTGGAAACTTGAAGACTCAGAGCAACTCCAATGCAAGGGTGTGGTCTCTTACACACCCTTACGCATGGGTCCCATTTTTATCTCACAATTTTTATGTGTAGGATCCACGTTTTCCCTAATTAATTTTCATTTTCATTTTTTATATCAGTTTTAACCCACTTTTCATCAACTTTTCCTCCTCGAATAAGGTCCATATATGGACCTTGTCATAGACTTTGGTCCATTTTTACCTATATCTCTCTCCTCTTTTTCATTTTTCCTTACACATCACTTCATCCAAATATTTATTTTATCTCTATCTCTCTCCTATGTCACATCAGCTGCAATGCACCCTCCCATTGGAGATGCTCTCAGTCAGCCCTTGGTTCTGCATGTATTTCTCTTGTTTTTCATTTATTTATCAAACTGTTTCGAGTGTTTTTGTATTGTTTTGTGTTTGTTTTTTATTTTGGATTTTTGGGTGAGTTTATTTATGGTAGTTGGTAGGATCGAGGGTAGTGATGATTTGGGAGACAAATACAATAAGCTGGTTATTATAGGCTTAGGGCATGTAATATCCAAATTGGTTGTAGTGTCTGATTTTTCTGAAATTTATGAATTTGTGGCTAAAGTAAATGCATTGACGGATTCTGTTGATTTTTTTTGTGGGGCGGAAATATTTAAAATATGTTTTATTACTCTCTCGGTCCCGCAAACAAGTTCCGGGCATTAAGAAAATAAATTTACTGAACGGTAAATTTTACTGTGTACACTGTCGTGACACTGTTTGACACTGTTTTGCCACTGTTTTGGTGTAAATTTGTTTGCCAAATAAGGAAAGGTGGAACTTGTTGGGACATCCGAAAAGGAAAGGTGAAACTTTTTTTCGGGACGGAGGGAGTAATAAAGTAAAGAAAAAGTTACATGAAAAAACAGCTAGAATGATACTTTACAGTAACTTCAACCAATATGGCCAAAAAAATTACTCTAACCATACTTTTTCTTATTATTACACAATTCAACGTGCGAAATCAAGAGTTATGTATTTGATGAAAAAGTCGACTGATAAGTTTGAATGTCTGATAAGTCGAAAAACAGGATCACCAAATAGGCCCTTATTGTTGCGCTTTTTATGGTTAGTGATTCAATTTGTTTTTTATGGATGAATGACCTTATCTAATCAAAGAGCTTGTAACCCGATTAGGGGCCTCTTCCAGGTGTATGTTTGCAGTTTGTGTTTCCTCAATATCTTCATATAAGCCTTTTACACTAAAAAAAATGGTAGTTTTTTTCATGAAATATTACTCCAATAAAAATTATTGGCAATAAGTAGTCATTGTATAGTCATTTTTCTCTCATCTTTATTTTAGTCATGATTTGTTTAAAGAGCCCATAATGTTAGTTTGCATAATATTATAGATGTCCCAGTTAAGAATTAGAAAGGTTAAAGGGTCAAATAGGTCCTTGTACCTTTCTGGATTGCTCAATTTGCTCTCTGAACCCAAAAAAAGCTCCAATTAGCACCCTGAACTCGAAAAAAGATTCGAATTTCACTTTTAGCAGGTCGCAAGCCGGTCATCCAGTAGGGTGCCAACTGTGCAAGTGACATGGCAACTTAGGGGATCAAATAAGCCCTTGAACCCAACCGAATCGTTCATTTTATCCGCTCAACCCTAAAAAATGTCAAATTTTAAAAATAAAATAAAATAATAATAATAATAAATAATAAATATAAAATAAAATTATAAATAAAATACATGTCTAAAATATAAGATATATTAATATGAAGGCAGTGGCCGGGGGTACCAGGGGCCAACAGTGGAATGGGGCTGGGGCTGGCGGGATAGTGGGTTTGGGTTGGTGTTGCCTTGCGGTTGTGAACGACCGGACGGTGGTGGTTTCCGGTGGTGACTGTGGCCAGTGACACTGTGGTGGTGTCACTGGCGAGGTGTCACGGTTGCGGACAATGACAGGGGTAATAGGGGTGGCAATGGAAACAGGGATGGGGGCATGGGTAGGTGGGAAAGGGGGTCGGGATTTGTGTTTAAAGGAGCTCGCGGTGGTGGACGATGGTGGTTTCTGGTGGTAAACCTGGATTAATGTTGCAGAAGTAATTGTGAACGGAGAGTCACTATGGATGTGTCACTGCGAATGTGTCACTGTGGTGGTGATGGCGGCAACGGTCAATGGCCGATGGCGGGGGCCGGTGGTCACCGTAGCGAGTGTCACTTTAATGAGTGTCACTGTGGCCGATATTGTAACTATGTAATAAAGTCACTTTAAATTAAGGGTAATTTAGTAAGTTTAAAACTTATTACTCATATTTTTAGAAATTAAACAATAAGATCACATTTTTGTCATTTATCTACTTTTTAGTCATATCATCTCTACAATTATATAAGAGGGAATCTTGTTGAGGGTTTAACTGTCCTGAAAAATGTGTTGTACATTTTTACCTCTTTTCACTTTAAACGTTATGTCCCTGGACGGAGGCAAAGGCTAGCATTTTGTTTATAAGCTTTAAAAAAAATCGCACAAGGGCTTTTATTTCCGCTCTTTGCTTTATTTCATTCATTCACTACATCCTCAGAGCCCCTTCGACTATCTCCTTCCGTTTCAAACGCCTGGCATCCTAAGCTCGACCGCAGTAATGGCTTTGGAGCAATTAGGTTTTTCAAGCGTCCTCCGTTGAGTGCTTATAAATACTGTTGCGCGGCTCTTAGGTCGATTTTCCAGTGCTGCCTTGTTCTACTCTGGTGAGTTTTTCTCTATTCTTTGAATTAGCCTTGTGTGATTAGTCATCTTTTATTCGCATCTCTCGTTCATTGTCTACTTGCAATTTCCCTCTCTTTCGTTTAATTAGTTCATTGTCCAAGGAGGTTTTTGGGAGTCGGTGTTCTTGTTTCATGCCAATGATTCCTGGCCCTTAGAAAAACTGATGTTTGCAACTTATTTGTCGAACTTCAACTCCACCCAAGTGTATTTGACCTTCATCTAATACTATTCGTGACCAATGAACTTGCATCAGAACACTTCTCTTTCTGGGGTTCCACCAAACAATATTTTGTGTCATGTATGTGTTTGTTTAAATGTCCGCATGAAGTGAAGTAATTCTTTGCTCTCAAACCTCTATTTACGCCTGCCCTATTTTTGTGTCAGATTTTTTTTTAAAAGTTCACATCTATACATCCAAGGAAGAAAAAAATGTGTGGTGCTTATTTATAAAGGGTGCCCTCTACTACGGTGTTCC